CGGGGAAGACAGTAGCTCCCCTCCTGAATTTGAACCCCTGGTTTCATAGTTGAGGTCTGCTTAAAGCCCATGTCCTGACTCCAGAGGCAGTTCTTAAATGCAACAGAGTTTCATAGAATCATAGAATACTAGGACTGGAAGGGACCTCGAGAGGTCATCGAGTCCAGTCCCCTGCCCTCATGGCAGGACCAAATACTGTCTAGACCATCCCTGATAGACATTTATCTAACTTACTCTTAAATATCTCCAAAGATGGGGATTCCACAACCTCCCTGGGCAATTTATTCCAGTGCTTGACTACTCTGACAGTTAGAAAGTTTTTCCTAATGTCCAACCTAAAGCTCCCTTGCTGCAGTTTAAGCCCATTGCTTCTTGTTCTATCCTCAGAGGCTAAGATGAACAAGTTTTCTCCCTCCTCCTTATGACACCCTTTTAGATACCTGAAAACTGCTATCATGTTCCCCCTCGATCTTCTCTTTTCTAAACTAAACAAACCCAGTTCTTTCAGCCTTCCTTCATAGGTCATGTTCTCTAGACCTTTAATCATTCTTGTTGCTCTTCTCTGGACCCTCTCTAATTTCTCCACATCCTTCTTGAAATACGGTGCCCAAAACTGGACACAATACTACAACTGAGGCCTAACTAGCGCAGAGTAGAGCAGAAGAATAACCTCTCATGTCTTGCTCACAACACACCTGTTAATGCATCCCAGAATCATGTTTGCTTTTTTTGCACAGCATCACACTTCTGACTCATATTCAGCTTGTAGTCAACTATAACCCCTAGATCCCTTTCTGCCGTACTCCTTCCTAGACAGTCACTTCCCATTCTGTATGTGTGAAACTGATTGTTCCTTCCTAAGTGGAGCACTGTGCATTTGTCTTTATTAAACTTCATCCTGTTTACCTCAGACCATTTCTCCAGTTTGTCCAGATCATTTTGAATTATGATCCTATCCTCCAGATTAGTCACAACCCCTCCCAGCTTGGTATGATCTGCAAACTTTGAGCTGCTTATTTTTTAGTTTTGGGGGGAGGTAGGGAGTTTGTTATAAAAGGAAGGAGATGGAGTGATTAAAAAGAACAAAAGGTCGGGCATTCAAGCAATTGAAGGATGGTTAGATCATCATGAAAACATTGCTGAGTAATCCACTTACAAGATGGGGGGGAAAGCGTAGGAATGAGTGTTGTGCTGCAGGGATCTGCATTTGGACCACTGCTGTTAAACTTCTTTTAAATGTCCTTGAAAAGAGGGTAAACAGGGACTAATCGAAATCTGACTGCAAAGCGTAACAAAATTATCTCACAAAACTGGGTGATTGTGCAACACAAGGGCAGATGGAATTCAGAGTTGAATAGTGCAAATGAATACACATGGGAAAATGTAATCCTAACTATAGATACAAAAATAATGGATGTTAAAATAGCTGTTACCACTGAAGAAAGAGATCTTGAAATCCTTGTGGATATTTCCCTGAAAATATCTGTTCAATGTGTGTTGGCAATCTAAAAACTAAAAAGCTAACAGAATATTGGGAATCATTAGGAAAGGAATAATAAGACAAAATACCATACTGCCTCTATATAAAGCATTGTATGCCCACATCTTGAACACTGTATGCAGATCTGCCCCTCCTCCCCCATCTAAAACAAGATATATTGTATTTGGAAAAGGTACAGAAAGAGCAAACAGAAATGATTAGGGGTAAGGAACAGCTTCCATATGAGGAGAGATTAACAAGACTGGGCCTTTTCAGCTTGGAAAAGAAATGACTAAAGGGTGGGGGATATGTTAGAGATCTAGAAAATTATTAATTGTGTGGAAAAATATAATAAGGAAATGTTATTCATTCTTTCACTAACATAACACAAGAAGCTGACCCAATTAAATTTATAAGCAGGAAATGTAAAACAAACAAAATAGGTGACGGGGGATGGATCATGATGATTGCCTCTTCTGTTTATACCTTCTGAAGCAAATGGCATTGCCCATTGTTGGCAGACAGGATACTGGGATAGAAGGATCTTTTGTCTTTTGGCTATTTTGATGTTCTTATATAGAGTTGAAATGTATTTGCCCCCTTGCTGTAAACCACTCAACTACACTCTACTTCCAGAGTTGAGAGAAGAACCCCAGGACTCCTGACAGGGTCTCTCTCTCTCTTGCCACAGAGTTAGTAACAAAGTAAGAATATATATTAACATTTTAAAGCTAACCAGTGTCCTTAAGTGACTTGCCACTAGATGTCAGAATGTGTTAGTGTTAGAGCTGAGTGTATCTAATATTTATTTATTTTTATTTATGTAGAAATTAGATACAGTGCTCTTGTCAGCTAACTGCTAAGTTTTTTGCCAAAAAAAAAAGAGCTCAATGTATCTGTCCCCATAACCCACTAAACCTCATACCCTTTCCAGAGTTCAGAAAGAATCCAGGAGTTCTGACAGGGTCTCTCTCCCCCCAGAGTTAGTAATAAAGTAAGAATATACATTAAAAATGTTGAGGATAACTAGTGTCCTTAAAACAACAAATGGTCTAGTAGCACTTTATAGACTAACAAAACATTTAGATGGTATCTTGAGCTTTCATGGGCACAGTCCACTTCTTCAGATGACCAGAGTTTAGGATGTTTTAAATATTTATTTAATTTTCTTTCTTTTATAATTGGAATTAGATGCGGTGCTCTTGTCAGTTAACTGCTAATTTGTATGGCAAAAGAAGTAGAGTTTTCCAGTGCCTTGGTAGCCCCTGGATATAGATGATGCGTATGTGTGTGGGGGTGAATGGGGTTGCTTCCCCCATATTTGGTGCTCGGCTTGTACTGAGCATGCTCAGTAATACTGCTGAAGCCTCGGTCCTCTGTCCGCCTCCTCATGGCCTCAGTCTCCTCCCCCCATCACAGTATGCACAGGTCACCCCCCCACACCAAAATCTGATATTGTGCCCCTGCTCTTCTTTGGTGTCTCTGTGTGTAGTGTATAAAGCAGTAGAAATAAGTAATTATCTGTATGAAATTATAGTTTGTACTGACGACACTAGCGCTTTTTATGTAGCCTGTGATAAAACCAGGCAGATATCTAGATGAGTTGATGTACCCCCTGGAAGACATCTGTGTACCCCCAGACATACACATATCCCTCGTTGAGAACCACTGGTGTGTGTTGTTAATTGAATTCCTGATTTCAATTATATTTTTCCTTTTTTTTATGCCAGATAGCTTACCTACAATATCACAGTGTCTTGTATCTTGGGCCTAATAAGCAGTCCATGATTTAACTGTTTTCATTTAGACATTAGATTTTCAATAACTTCCTTGTATATATAATTAAAACAAGTGTTTGCAGGTCAGATTTTAAAATTACACTACAACATTGTGCATCATCACTAAGTGTGTAGTAATTCTACAAGATGATTTATCCCTCCATGTCTATTCTTGTTATTTTGAAAAAATCAGCATTTCTGCTGCTGCACATGTGCTCACTTGCTTATTTTGCCATGTAAGCAGTGATGTAGGCCACAGTGTGATTTTGGGTAACTCGGTTTTAGGAAATCTATATCACTTTGGGACTGATTTTCTTAAGTTTAGAAGATATCAGAATGTGGTCTATTTTGTACATATGGTCAAAAGAGCAAGGGACAAAAAATGAATGTAATTCCATCCACACCTGAAAGTTTCCTTGTGCATAGATACTGCTTTGTTTCCTGATGAAAGAAAATAAAGTTGATGAGCCTTTGAGCTTTAAATAAACAGATAAAATATCAAATGTATACAACTCACTAGACCCCTACATTTGTTTTTAGGTTCAATGGTAAATGGATGGGGTTCTGCGTCTGATGAGGACCGTAACTTTTCTAGTCATAGATCTAGTGTAGGTAGCTCCTCAGATGACTCCATCTTTACCAGCGGCAGTTTTGCACAAGCACTGGTTGCAGCAGCAGATAAAGCTGGGTTTAGGCTGGATGGAACCAGTCTGACAAGAACAGGTTTGTAGACTCCAAATTGATGCTTTCTGCATGGTCTCATCCTTTTTTTCCTCTTTCTCTCAGTGAACCTGAGTCTCACTCAGAAACTGTATAACCTGCATGGAATAAGGAGGTTGGACATTTTTTCTGCATATCTTTAATTAAAACCTTGCACCGTTCTTTACTTTGAGTATTTCTAGCAATGAATAGCACAAGCTTTTAATCACCAGCATTGGTCTGCTATTTCCCCTTACTCTGACTCCTCTATGGATTTACTGACATGTGCTCCCTTTTATATTGCAACAAAGAGACTACTAATTTTACCATGCAATTTTTGATGATTTATTTTTTGCAAAATCTTCTCTCAATCATTAATGTATCTAGTGATAAAAAGCACACTTAGCCATTACCTCCTTTGCTGCTGTTCTAGTGCATCTCTTCTGCACAATGTGTTTTCTGAGAAGGCTGTCTAAGCATGGGGTGAGCTGGTATAAGTTTATCACTAACAGCCTTATTAATCAGTTGCTTTAATGATATTTATTTAAATAATTTATTATATTTGGATTTCAGGATATTAATTACAAATATACCAACAGTGTCTGTAAGTTATATGTAAGAGTGGCAAAAAATCTATTGCTTTTGAAAACCGCACAATTTCTCTTCTGAAATAAAGCCAAGTAGGAAATATAATTTATTGTAGTTAATTCATAATTCAAAAGCCTCTTATGTGTCATTTTCACGTGTTGATTTCTAGCAAAAAAAAAAAAAGATAGGTAAATTGTAATAAAAGGTTCTCACCACCACAAGAATGGATTTGTATTCTGAATTTATCAAAACTGAAAAATAACTTTTGCTTTTTGAAATTTATTTGAGGAAAAACAAATAGCACAATATTTATTAGGGAGCTTTTCATTTTGTTACACACATTTCAGATTCCTGGCCCCAGGCACCACTGTGTTCCCATAACTTGCAACTTTTAGTACTATTCTCATAAAATTTCCCCTTTTCTACATTATTTGCATTTAGGAAAATTGATCATAAATATAGAGGCTGATCCTGCAGCCTTTATGCATTCAAATTTTGGCCAAAATATAATTTAACACTGATAATTCTGTTTGAAGAGACTTTTTGAGAAACCTTGTGTGAGAAGCATCAAAACATTTGTACTCTTTATAGTTTTGGTGCACTCTTATTGAGCCTTATTCAAAGTCCACTGAAGTCAATGGCAAGAGTTCCATTGATTTAATGTTATGTGGATCAGGCTCATTAAAGGGTACAGGCTGCTTTCTGCTCCCACACAGAAACTGTAAAATCTATTATTATGTGGCATAGCCATGCAAGAAAGGTACACCTTTCTGGTTGATTATTGGGTGTTTACAGCTTTAAAGCTACCCAACTAGATTTTGATGATGGTGTTATGGTTTGTCACGTGATTGATGTGCATTTTTAAAATTGCATGCTAACATTATATCTATTTGTTGACCCATTGCATTTTAGAAAATGCCAAAATACCCTTTTGTCATCATCTGATCATCATGGCAAAACATTATTCTACTGTATGGGTCTGATGTAGTAGTTAAAAAAAATCCTGAGGCTTGATGGAGTTTAATGGCAACATGACACTTTCAGTGATACCTCCTGGGCCATAGTTTATCAAACAGTATATGTATGTGATTTTTAAAATGCATATTATCTACCTGATACATCATAATGGTTCTTCAGAGGCATCTCTCTGAGTAGAGGCAATATTCTCTATGACTGTCATTCAAGAGTGGTGTCTCAAGGCCAGATTCTCCAATACCTTGTACCCTAAGTAGTAATTAATACATAGGTCAAGTGGGTGCAAAACACCATGACTGGTATGATTAGTCCATTCTGTTTTGGTAGTATAGCATCTTTCACTCTTTTTTCATGAGTGTCTCTGACAGTTCAGGGGAAAAGGAAATGGTGAATTGAGACTAAAATATCTCTCCTTCCAGATGCCAGCTTGCTAATTGTCATATAATTCAATGAGTTTAGATTTTTTTTCTTTTCATATTTGCAACACCCTGTAATGGGACGATTGTATCGCCAAAATGGGATGGCACAATTGAGCAGATTATACTGAAGAGATCAGAATAACAGAAATTCTATAGTTATATATCAGGTGCACTGAAAGATATGTGCTGGGAATCTTGCATGACACCTGCCAGCCCTACGCTTGTCTTAACTCAGTATTATTGTTAGCCCCTCTATTTCATAGGTTCTTGAGTCACTCATAAACATGCCTGCATGCTGAATTAGGATCAGACGTACACTCATGAAAGCAAGAGAATTCACTTAAAATTTCATCCAAGATTCCAGGCTTGTCTAACAAGGTACTTTAGTCTTCACCAATTGGTGTAATTTTTAGTCCTCACTAGTATGTTATGCACTGACTGACCAGTGTGGACACTGCTGCTGGTACGCTAAAATTACCAAGTGTTCATTTTTGTAGTCCCATTCCAAATAGTACTAAATTTGTGCACACTAGGAAACTTTTACTTTAATCTCCTCTGGTGCAGACTGAAGTACCATGTAGTAGGTTATTTTAACACTTTGTGCTATCTAGGTGCTCTAGGAGTTTATTTTTACAAAACATCTGCGCTGCAGTGTGGAGTGAGTTGAAGACGGGATTTCAGATCTCTGAATTTCTTCTCCTTACTGTTTTAAATTAAATCCTCACTATTTGGGCTTGCAGTTTTTCTGGTTGAATCTATATCTAGGAAAAATGAGAAATCAAAGGCTGAAAAGGCAATTCTGACATGTATGAATTACTAAAAATCCATCTTTGGGAGATTGTGGGACAGATCTTGTTTCCCTTCACAGCACCTTTGCACCACTTTGGCTTTAATGTTCTACCAATTGGCAGATAAAGATTCTCTTGTCAGGGAGGAAAACCCAGATGGCAGCCAGCCAACATGGCTATCTCTAACCCTAAGACCCCTCCAAAGTAGTGTATGTGCTAAGATATGACTAAAAGATAGGGGTGTATTTAGAACACTACAGTACTCCAGTGACTCCCTGCAAGCCTATTGGATCTTTAAGGGATTTTATCTTCCCTACATTCTTCACCCAACACCAAAACTGATCCCAAGCAGCCTAAGGTGCACAAAGATGTCATTCAACCACCTTCTCTGTCCTATTTTGTCCTGTACAGTCTGGCCAAAGCTAAATACTGGTCCTTCTGTGTTTAAAGCAAAAATAAGTTTTGTTGCCTTAACACACTCAACCTTGTAGAAAATTAAAAATCAGAATAGCCAGCAGTTCAAAATAAAGCACAATGTAAAAATTCCTAAGATACTTGTTATAGATGTCAAACAAATAAAATAATAAAACACGCTGAAAAGATTCCAGATAGCTCATCCAGTCTTATTAAAAAATAGCAATTGTATTGGAATTGACTGAACACATACCTGTAAAAATATAAATCAATAAAACAACTGAATTGTACTCAACCAGTGCCTTCTATGAATGTCCTGTTATAATAGTGTCAAGCAGAGGATGGTGTTTTAGAGAAGTTATAATTATCACTCAATGTAAACAGAACTCTAAGTAAACAATTCAGTTAGTCAACTCTTATCCAGAATAAGTTTTTACATACACATTCATACTCACAAAATAGTAAAATACTGGAGAAATCTTTACAAAAATAAATCTTCTTGCTCTTTATTTGCTTTGGTCCTTAGATCTAGTTAGTATATGTTTTTTAAAATCAATTACATGAGTGTCATTGGAGCTACATCACATATACAGAACACTGGAGTCACCAAGATAAGAATCTCGTCCAGTATATGTTTGGTATACACAAAGAGATGGATTATGGTGAATAAATGCTAAACAATTGCTAAACTCTTTTCTCACCCTACAAGTGTAAGAAATTATTTGGAACACATCTGTTTAGTATACAAAGTAGGTATGAGTTACACAAGAGATAACAGATTTATCACAATGACTTTAGAATAGTTTTAATTAAACATTTAAAGGAAAATATATATAAAGCTGAGTTTCTCACTTGGCTTATTGTGGAGTATTTTAAAATGATTTCATTAGTGGGTATTTCAGCAGGGCACCTACTTTATCTTCATCATCGTTATTATTTGTATTACCAGAGAGCCTAGGATCTCTAGTTATAAATATTGTCCTAATTGTGTGAGGTGCTGTAAAAATAAAGAAAAAAAATGCTCCCTACCCCAATGGGCTGACAATTTTCACGTAAGCACTGAAAGGGAAGATACGTAGCACTTCAAATGAGACACATAAGAGGACAGCCTGCTCCGTTGCAATAATGTTTCCATTTTTATTTCCTTTTTTCCCCCTCTAGGCAAAGCATACCCTTCATCTCAGCGACCTCGACCAAGCAGCCCATTTTCAACTGACAGTAACACCAGTGCAGCTCTGAATCAGAGTCAGAGGCCTAGGCCCACTAAAAAACACAAGGCGGGTAGATTGGACCAACCCCCATTGCCTCACCGTAGGGAGGGAATGACAGATGGTAAGTTCTTTGGTTTGAAGCCAGCTCTGTAGTAGTGACATGTTGCGTGCATTCAGGACTGGAAAAAAATTTAAAGTGTTCCTTTAAAGATTGTGTGCTGCAATGAGCTATTTGTTTCACAGTGTATGGTCTGAAAGTTGTCAAATAATGTTGACATGAGAGTTGTGCAAAACTTAATTGGTTCATCATTGAGCAGGGCTGCAGGAAAATATTTCTTTGTTTCCTCTATGGATGAGTTCTCTCCTCTCAGGTTTCCAGAAATCTACTGTAAGTCACATCTTAAATGACTGAATTACATCTGGTTTCACACCAATACTATGACTTTAGCTAATGCATAGATGTACAAATATTCAAATGAATTTCCCAAGAACAAATTTAAAGGGAGCCATGTTTTGTTCTACTTTGTGTCACCCATACAAAAAGTTCATATAAACTCATGCTTCCTTTTCCCACCTTTCCCTCTGCTTGGTAATGCTGTCCCATTCCTGAATTTTTGCTCCCTCTCCCTAGTGACTCTGTTTTTCTCTTCAGTTCTCTGGCTCCTTTGTTTCTCTCTCATCCCCTCTTCCAACCTTCAAATCCCTGGTGGATCTGTCCCTTCTAATCGTCTGGACAATCACCTCGCCTGCTTGTGATTAGCAACAGAAGCCACCACCATCTGCTACTCCTGTGTGTGTGGGTCTCTTACCACTTGTGCTGCGCTCATAGCTGGCTTCTGTAAATGCTGAAGGATTTAGAGAGGGCAGCAGCAGGAAAAAAAAGCTTCAAAAGTGCCACCTGCCATTTTCATAACTCCTGAAATGAGGGTGGGAAGATGGTTGCTCTTCTCACCATTTCTCATTGTTCTGGTCAACCCTCACTGCCCCTCTGATGCTTGCAGCTGCCCTGTCTTCCAAACAGGCAAATCATAGATGGAAAGAAGGGCATCTCTTGGAGTTGTATTTTCCCTGCTTCATAAAATGGTGGGTTGGGATTTAAGCCCATGAGTCTGTGCTCCCTCAGAAATGGGTCTCTTGTTCTGTCTAAGGATTGACAAAGTTTCCAGCAAATGCAGTAGTCAGGTGATGTGTGGTTTCAGGTTCTGTTGTGAATATTTCTCAAAGCTTTAGTCAACCCTTCATTAATAAACCCTTCCATTACTTATTTTATTGGGAGCTCAGATTCCACATTGCAAGTAGATTTGTTGTAGCTCTTGGTTATTTTGATTTTATGTATAATGTGCCTGTATGTTGCTGTCAGCATATGTATGTTATTTGTTACAATATACTAATTGGACCAATGTCTACATTGGTTCTGTCAACCCAACCAAACTGTAAGACTCCCCTTCCTCAGTTAGTCTTGCCCCTCAGAAGCAACCTAGTAGAAATAGATAGGCTTTGAAGATAAGTTTCAGGCTATGTCAGACCCAAGGTTGTGAAGAACAAATTCCAGAGCTGAGATAACATTTTGTCAATAATGCTGTGTCACTAGCCCTCTCTTGAACCAAGGGGGTTCTTAGCTCAAGCTCCACAAATGATCACCACCACCCTATCTTTGAGGAAAGAGATGATCTCCAATATCCAAACCTCATCGTTCTTCTCCCTCTTCAAATCTCTCTTCAAGATCCTCCTCTGCCAAAACACTCACTAAAATCAGTGAAGTAATGAGGGTTAAGGAGTGTGTTAAATGTGTATCATAGGGCATGTCTAGACTGCATCCCTCTGTTGGCAAAGGGATGCAGATTAGGCAGGTCGACATTGCAAGTGAGGCAGGGATTTAAATATCCTGTGCCCAATTTGCATAAAAATGGCCGCCACTTTTTGCTGACTCAGCACTCTGTCGGCATAAAGCTGCTGTCTAGAGGGGGATCTGTCGAGAAAGAAAGCCTTTTTTGACAGATCCCTTATTCCTCCTGCAATGTCCCTGCCTCATTTGCAATGTTGACCTGCCTAATCTGCATCCCTCTGCCTACAGAGGGATGCAGTCTAGACATACCCATACAGAGCTATAGTCATATATAAAACATGCACATATTTAACTTCACCCTTCTTCCCTGCACTTCATGAATCATGTGTCATCTTATACTGTAAGCCCTTTGATGCAAAGTCTATGCCTGCCTACCAATGTGTTTGTACAGAGCTGAGTATGAGGAGGATTTGGGATTGAGGTCTTGGGATACTACTGCAATATAAATATTTAATAACAATGCTTGAACCCAGAAGCACATTTAAATTAGTGGACACGAGAATTTTAAAGGCCCTAATTTATTAAGGAAGTTGCTGTCTGGCTGTTTAAATTCTCTATTCATTGTAAACAAACACCAGTTATATGGCATTCTTATTCACTCTCCCAGTCTTAGGCAATGTCATACAATTACTGTACTTCATATTTGGATATCATTAGTCTAATTTATTAGGTCCTTAGTTTAAAATATGTACCATGTATTCCAAAAGGAGATATCAAGTAAATGTTCTGAGGGTAAGAAAGGAATCTGTGTCTTTCCTGTTCCCTTTCTATATGAAGTATTGTCACACATTCCTCTTTTAATTAATGAACTTATGAATCACAGAGTGCTGTAAACTGTAAATATTCATCATACCTATCATACCCTCCTAGCTGCTTTTAAATAGGACATAATGCTTGACCAACCCCAGAAGAAGAATCAAAGAGGAAGTATGTCTAGTGGCTAAAGCAGCAGGCCTGGAGTTAGCATTTCAGTTCCTTCCTCATCTTTGCCTCTAACTTGTTGTTATTTGCTATTGCCCAGTCTTTGCCTTTGCTCATCTGTGCCTATGACACTGGAAGGAGGACACCCACACTCTGATTGCAAAGAACAGCTCACAGGCTGCAGTGTTATTGATTGTAACAATAATAGTTGCCCTAGGAAAACAATGAATTGCTAAATCTTGCAACCTACCTCCAACCATGCACTGTGCCTTCATCCAGTTGATGATGACAGCCTAGGAGCCTGTTTGATTTGTCTGTGCAAATCATCCAGCACTCTGCACTCATAAAGGAGGGCTAGACTAAGCCCAAACCAACCCTCCGATAACCTCTGAGTACAGTTTGTGCTGTGCTAAAGCCATCAGAATCCCAGTTCCTCAAGTATGCAACCAGGAGACAAGTATTTCATCCATTTCAGTTATAAATTGGCTTGCAAATTTGTGATCCAGCCATTAGATACTGCTAGATGTGACTGGCTTGCATTCCACCATACCAGTCAGTTGCTATCAGATCTGGATATCCAAAATAAATGTATAGCATGTTATTACAGAACAATTAATCCCATTGGAATGGAACAATTAAGATACTAAGCAATATACCATGTATCAAGGTCTCCCCTCTGAAATTCCTGCATGTCTTGGTTTACTATTTTCCTGGAACTACAGATCTGAGGAAACAACTTGGCTTCCTTCCAGGTGTGCTATGGAGATGCACCTAACCATGCTTGCCTGGTCATAAGTAAGAGAGACTGTAAATTGATGCAGTCTCTTACACTTTGCTAGTAGCTTAAATCCCAACTGCAAATATTTGATATCATCCAAGGATTTCAACAATCTTTACCAACATTAGTATTCACAGTACTGCTGGGCAGCAGGCAATGATACCCATTTTAGAAATTAAATAGCAGGAGAAGCAAAGTCAAATGCCCAAGTTCATAGAGGAAATCTACTGCAGGTCCAGTAGTTGTGTCCAGATCTCTGTATTCCCAATTTGTTCCTTAACAACAAGGCTTTCTTCCTCTCCAGTGTTTGATTAATGAAAGTTTGCTAAGTTCATGGGGTAGTCAGATGTATATGGTGAAGTGTTAACACCAAAACAATTTTTGAATTTAACAAAATTAGTTTGCTGTACTATGTCTGTTGCAGATTTAAAACTTACACACTTGTTGCTTCCTATTATTTTATTTTGCTCATGTGAAATTGTAATAGTCCTGTGTTGGAGAATGGTATTATCAGATTCCATATTACACACTTCCATAGATTTCCATAGAATTCTATAGATGTTGAAATACAAGTTGTAAACTTTAACTTCAATAATATGAATTTCAAATTGCATGAGCAGATCCCAGTGTTATAGTCCTGTAGGCTAACTGGTTATGATTGCAGTAAAATCTATTATAAGGAATGCCATTTTGGACGCCAAGACTAGAAAGCATTTTTAACATTGGCAGGCTCTCATACCCCTCCCCTTGTCTACCTACAATAACTCAAACACAGTTGTTGGCATGGAAGGTCACATTTTTATTCAAAACTAAAAATAGTAAAATAAATTAACACTTAACATAAATTATACACCAAGCCCACTGACAAATTATTATTATACTGTGCTGGCCAGAAGGGAGAGATCTCAGTCTGTGGGACCTAATTCAGGAGTAAAGGTATAGTGTTGCTATCCGACATAAATCTCCTTCACCATACGCTAACCTGTTGTTCCAAATAACCAGCATTTTCTCATTTAACTATGCAAGACAGAAGTGCTGACTGGGAAGATGGCTTGTCAACTTTGGAGTCATTGCTGCCCCACACATAGAAAATGCAAGTAGCACCTCTACCAACAAGGACATGAAAATGAGGAATCTTACACAAATAAACTGAGACACTGCCAGTCCTTTAAAATAAATCTGTTGACCAAGGCCCCCTCATTAATATGTAAAAATTCCTTCATAGCTTCAACCCTGAGACTCCTCTGCGGGTTCTAAAAGCAGAGAAATACTCCTTCATAACATCTACTACTCCTAATCAAGTTCCAATTAATTGTTTTAAAATGCTGTGATTTCTGAAGGGTAAAAAACAAAGTGACAGAGCCTCAGCTGGTGTAAACTCTTATACCTCCACTGGAGGTAGCTCCAAATGAGCTATGCAGTCTGAAGATCTCTCAGAACATATCTTTATAATTTCCCCAATACAATTAGTTGAACCATAGTGTAGTACACAACTGTGATGAACTACAGGCTGTTCTAATATATTATAGACAGGCAGAATAAGGATGCTTCTCAGAGGAATGTCAGAAGCATTTCAATTTTATTTTTTAATTCATCACAATCTGATATTGAGGGCATAAAAATCCATATACTCTTGTTTTACTATTATAGAGGATTTTTTTTCTGAAAAGTGAGGTTTTTTGCAAAAAAAAATTTGTCTTATTTAATGGCTCTGTTTAAAATATATTTTGCACATTTATAATAATATATTGTCAGTGATGACTGATTTTTTAAATAACTTGATGTTTTCTGAAATTATGTGAAATTTGGTGGGATTTGATTGAGTTTTACTTTTAGATTTTGAGTTCATTCAAAAACTGAAAGTGAAAGTGAAACTCAAGGATTGAGACAGAGAGGTAAGCCCCAAACAGATGGGGGGGGAGGGGAAGGAACCTGGTTATCTAAAATGGATTATTTTTTTCTCAGTTTGACTTAATTCCTTGTCTGTTGTTGAATGAGCCAGGTATAGTACATCATGTACTGATGATAGCTCTTATTATATTGACTTCATTGGTAGGTAGAAAGTGTTAATAGCACAATTGCTGAAGATAGAGGCTAGTAGTGCGGGTAAGATACTGCATTTCTGGCTGACATGAATTTCCTTTTTTTTAAAAAGTCATAATAAATGACTCAAATCCTTTTATTAGGGGAGGTTTTTTTCTCTGCAGTTTCATACAAAACATGTGTGTCAATTAAATATTAGCTTGTTCTAAATCTTATTCACATTTTTTAGATCTTCCTCCACCACCAGATCCGCCCCCTGGTCAGGGTTTAAGGCAGCAAATAGGCCCTGGCCAACGTGGAGGCTCGGCAGAGAGGAAAGGAAGCTCTCTTGAGAGGCAGCATACATCCAACATAGATGAAACAAAGAGCTCATTGGATCGTCAAGCTAGAACATCATTAGAGTGGCAGCGGCAAACCCAGGACTGGATAAGCTCCACAGAACGTCAAGAAGATTTCAGGAAAGCCCAACATAAACAAGCATTTGAATCAGGTGTGTGTGCTGCACCAAAGAAGTGTAGACAGCTTCTTGAAACATTTCCACTAGAGGTTTATAACTCAATAGAATGTAAGATCACCTTAAACCAGTACTCCCCCTCATTGCCAAAGCTTATATAACAAGAATAAATACATTCATCCTCTCAGCCTCCAGGTTCCTTTCACTATATAGGGAATTAATAATAATGTCAAACACAGCAGCAGAAAAAATCCGAACTCTGTTCTTGGTGGGCAAGGCAAGAGGAGTAGTGCTTTAACTATTCCCCTTTATAAATTTCATTTAATCATACATGTAAGGCCATATATTCCAGTATCTTCAACCAGCAACTAAATTGGCACTAGCTATTTTTGCATGCCTACAGAGGGCTGGCCCGTCTTAGCCTAAGCCACTTTTTCAAGCTATATTTATAGCTTCTTTTCCTCTCTACTCAAGTATATGACAAAATAACCTCCCTCTGTAAGGCTTAGATTGATGACAGTGTAGATTTTAACCGGGAATTTGGCATTGCTGAGTGAGCTTGATTTTTAATGGATCTCAGGCTGTAAAAACATGTTATAGGAGGAGGAGAAGGTGAGATTGGACTGGAGATTTAGTTTTACAATATTTGCAGAGTCCTTCTATCAGCCTGACCCAGCCACTAACAGCTTCTGGTTTTGGTCTCCTAGCTATTGTCCTTAATCCACTACTCATGGTTAAATAGAATAACACAAGGGAACAATTGCAGAAGGAACATACAGCACAGAAACAAGGCAAATACGGTTCTTTCTTTCTAGGACAGTGATGGGCAACCTATGGCATATGGTCTGTATCTGGCTCATTGGGGTGCGATGTTCAGCCCTTGAGACATTTTGTTCACTATTGCCCACATGCAGGGTTGCTAGATTCCACTGGTTTCCATCTGTGTAGTTTTTTTTCCTATTGGTATTACAAGGTGACATGCATGTAAAGAAAGGGCACAAGAAGGACATGGCTCCACTAGGACATTATTCAGAAATAACTTAGTTTGAAATAATAACTTCCAAAATAACTGTTTTCAAATAGCGAGTCCACACTACAGGGAAGCCTGGACATTGGTCCAAGGCAGGCTTCCTTAATATGGACATGCTATCTCAGCTTAGAGCCCCAGGAAGCACTGGGGAGTAATTACTTCGAATGACTCTGGGGAATAGTTATTTCAAATAGCAGCAGTGGAGCTGGAGTTTTACTGCAGCTTGGGTGCTCTGCCCCCGGCTTCCCACAGTCAGACACTGGTCAGTTTCAGCAGTGGCTGACGTGGGAAAGTCTGGGGCAGAGAAGCTGGGGTGCTGCCGGGTTGGTCTCGCAGCGCCAAGGGGCACATCCCCCCACTCCACTCCAGACCCCCATAGCCCCCCCTTCCAATAGTCTGGCATATCTGATAATCAGGCACCCCCCAGGTCCTAAAGGTGCCAGATTATTGGAAGTTTACTGTACTTCTATTTTGAAAGAACTATTTTGAAATAAGCATTATTCCTTATGGAAAGCAGGAGTTATTATTTCAAAATAACCAGCCCTTATTTTGAAATAACGGGCTTGCTAGTGTGCACACTCTGCTTGTTATTTCAAAACAAGGTAAATTATTTCAGAATAATGCCCTAGTATAGACCAGGGTGAAGTGAGGAGTGTGCTGATTGCATATAACATTGAATGTGAGAGCTGTGCACTCCCTCTGAATTGTAGCAGTGCTTTGATTGGATGCAATGAATATACCCTGCAAATTCTAGGTATGCAAACGCAGTTAGCAAAACTACCCTATCCTGGGAGATTATATTGTTTACAACAATCTTGCAGCCTACCGAGATGAAAGAGAGCCACTCATGTGTCTCACTCACTAGCCTAAGTTGCCCATCACTGTTCTAGGGCTAGACTGGGTCTTCATGCATATATTAAACTTACACTCTGACACTGACAATAAGTATTTAAATAATGATTCTCCTAACTAATCTACATGCTTACTCATATCTCTAAAAACAGTGGTACCTATCTGCTTTTCAGAACAGGGTCAGAGGAAAAATGACTAGTTCAGTTAAAAACAGAAGCAAAAAAATCTGATAATGTCCTCATACATATTTTAACAGATAACTGGAACATTGCCATTAAAAACAAACCAAAACAATTCTTCAGTAGTATGAACAAGTGAAAGACAATTTATATGTTTGTTCTACTGCCTTTGCAGTACAGATGTTTGTTTACATACTATATTAATAATGAAAATTCACCTATTACAGTCCAATAACAACCTTAATCATGAGACTTATATACAAACATTTTCTGCCTATACACCATTAATATATTGTATGCATCTCTCTGCTATGTGAAGCTATATTCAGAAGAGATTATCTGCTACCACCCACAAAATTACACTGCACCAAGGCTTTCTACCTCCATTTCTAATAAGTGATCAGGAAGAGCAGATGAGGAAGTGAACAATTATGTAACTTAGGGAGCCTACGGTAGTAGGGCTCTCATACCTCACACCTCACGTCTAAACCAAAACCTATTGAGTACGAAGGACTGATTCCCACTGGCTCCAGGGAGTGTTGAAGCAGACCCCTCAGATGTTAGAGTTCCAGTCCTGTGACTCTTTCCGAGGTAACTGGCTTTCCCTCATGCACAACTTAGGCAGTGTAATGGGAGCTGCTGCAGCTTTCTCCTTCAGTGGGAGATATACAGATTTCTCTTTTCAAATGCTCTCTGTGATGGCCTGTAGTTGAATGCCAGGTGTTTTCCTGAGGTTGTGCAAGCATCCTATATCTCCATGTTCTTTTCTCCATTTGGTTTAACAATAGGTGTTAATACATAATTTTCTATAATGTTAATAACTATTTTTTCTTGAAATCTGTGCTGACCTATTTCCTCAGTTAATAATGAAGTTTACTGGGAATCCAGATAACAGGGTTAGATACTTAGCATACATTTCCTAAAGAAGGCATTTTTAATTGTCGTATATCTGAAAAACTGTTCATTTTCTTTGATATCCCTCAAAACCATTTTACTGTTACCTAGTGTTAGCCTTACCATTTTGAAAACATGTGTTTAGTGTGAATGTGACAAAAGTCATAATCTGCACTTTCAACCTGTTTGCAAACACTTGCATATAGCAAAAAATACACATCAGAAGAATCAAGAAACATGCATAAGCAACAACAGTAATTGTATGAACTTTTTATCACACTCATCTTCCCTTCCGTTCTTCCCTCCATTCCCCATTTCATTGCTTTCAGTCACTGCATCATGTTCATCTTTGCATCTAGGTCTTACAAACTCCTGCATCTTGGACTAGCTATGTTCCTGAGTAGTCCCATTGATTTGGTTCAAAAATGAAGTATGTGGGACTATTAATATGAGTAAACCTGTGCACGCTGCTAAGTATTTGCAGGATCAGAGCTCATGATTGTAAACTCTTTAAGGTAGAGATAATATGTATATTACTTGTGAATCCCCAAGCCCACTTTCTGTGCTTTGTGTATGAAACAACTAGAAGATTTACCTGGTGTTGCTCAGGTCCTTAATTCAAATAAGCTTTGTTTTTCTCCATTTAAATCATTGTTCTGGGATGGGGCTGAGGATGAGGAGTTCAGTATCCACGCTGCCATGAGGAGAGAGGACTATCACAGCTGTCTCTCACCACAGCAGCTTGAGGCCAGGTGAGAAGTGCCTCTCCATGGCTGCTTCAACTGCAGTTGGCACAGCTGGGGGAAGGGATACATGTCCCCAGGCTGGGACACAGACAGACAAACTCTCTGAAATATATTGTAGATAGCAGTTCCTATCTCTAACTTTGTGGCCCAGTGGGGTTATAGCTGTCCTGGTCCTCATGCCTGGCCCCTTGCTGCCCTCCTGTGGTCATTCTGCAGCATAACTGTCCCTCCTACCAGAACCCTTGCTTTCCATTTTATGAGAAACAATCACATTCCAGACACATCCTGTTGTCCTGACATAACCAAACCCTGACCTTGCTTTAAGTTATAATAAAAGGAAGCTGCATATCACATTTGGTGACCATAGCTTTTACTGTTTAAAGGGAGTCCATTGAACAAATGGACTCACAGACAAAAAGACACGAACGGACAATGTTTCTAAAATGTATTGAAGATAAATAGAGCTGCCTGAGCACTATCTGAAGACTACATTGTTCTCTTTTACCTTGATTGGCTTATGCAATGGAAATTTTACCGCATTCATGAAATTATTCAATTAATAACAGTAACATTTATCAATATAAAATAACAACTTGTAAAGCTATAATAATAACAGCAACTATGGTTGACAAACCACGGTGAGCCCTGCTTGCCAGCTGTGCTGTCCGGCGATCTGCGCATGTGCAGATCATTCTGCGCATGCACAGATCGCCCAAACCCGGTTCTTCTGGGTTACAATCTATTCGCCCGTGGTGAGTAGATTGTATTATTTGTCGAGCCCTGGTTATTCGGGATATTAGGTAGACAAAGATTATTATACTTTCTACTGTACGGTCCCACATAGGACCTGGTCCAATTGCCATTGATATCAAAGGCATAAGCCCCCACTGACTTCATTTGTGCAGGTTTTTATGCATTTTACAAAAGAGTATGAGTAGTATAGTACTGGAAACCATATTTTAACAAATGACTTCTGAGTATGTTCAGAATCACTGAGTGGAGCAAAAGTGGCAATATATTTAAATATGATGTGCTCAGCTACCCTTTGAGGGAAACAGTGAATGAACCAAGTTAGAGTACCGGTAGTTTAGTTTCGAAAACAAGGAGACCATTGTGGTTGTTCAATGCAGGTGGGTCAAAGAAACCCCACTTTTATACATGTACATTAAGGCCTTGGTTCTGCAAAAAGAACCACATGTGCCGATACTCATTGAACTTTTTGGAGGATCCAGGCATACGAGGCTCTTTTGGAGGAGAAAAGAGAACTGTCTATGGGATTTAGACAAATATCTTCCGAGTTATAGAATGTTTGGAAAATCTGTTATTTTATATTTTTATTGTTTACTTTATAAATTACATATTTCTCAAGCGATATCAAACTAGAAAATAGTCTATTAAATTATTGTAATAGTATAAGATAAGCTTCTGGAGGGTTGTATGTTTGGAGGGGGGTGGAAAAAAGTATTTAATTTCACTCTTAAAAGTAAAAAAGAATGGACTATTCATTGAAATCTTGGTCGTCATCCCAAAACTCAGAAAACAAACTGGTTTATGGTATTATTCATCCTCCTGAACTTCTGCAAAATGAGCATCTTTTTGTTCCATCCTCTATAAATGTATCCAGCTTTCTGCTCAACTGATTTTTTTCTACCTTGTGTTTATTGCTGCCTTTGAAGGTTGCTCTATATTTCAGCCAGCTTTTGGAAAGTTTCCCCCATTGTTAGGGTTTGCTGCAAAAAGAACTTTTAATAATATTTAAGACTTTGACAGCTAAATGCCATCTTGCTATATCTTTTAAATGTTCACTTTCATTTCAACAAGGACAGCACAGTCATAGCATATGAAGCTGATATCCTGCAGTGCTAATATTCTAAAGACCTATTGGCCAGCCCTAAGATTATGGAAGTGAGTCAAATATAATCTCTCATCTCTCTGTTCCTTTCCAACTAGTCCCTATCTACTGCTCCCTCCCTATTTCTTCCCACTATTATATGAGCTAGATCTTGCCCAATTAAATGTTTTAGCAATAGGTGGTGGAGGAAGAAACCTTAACCTCGATTCAGGCATGTACTTAAGCAAGTTCATGCTTTAAGCTTGTGAGGCTGTCTACACTTGCCAGATTTTTGCGCAAAAACCCACTTCACTGGAAATGCACATTTAGCACCAAATCTTCTGAATTTCAGCAAAAAAATAAAGTCTTCTCAATGAGTCTCTCTTTGCTTTTGCACTGATCTGCCTGTGAAGATTCTTGGTTGTTTTTAGTGGCACTCTCACTGCTCTGGGGCCCCAAGTAAATCCCTACTTGTATTGTGGAATGCTCTTGCTGCCCCCACAATGCAAACAAGGCAGGCAGATTGAATGTCCTGTACAGAGTCAGGGAGGGAGGCAGAGGCTGAGGTTGGGGTGTCCTCCTAGCCCTGCCTCAGGACTGGTTGCTGCCAGTGACTGTCTGCTACCATAATGATTTTCTTACTGTCCCATATCAATATATAGTGAGATAGCTACCACAATGTGCTCCTCTCATTGACAATGCAAGTGCTGCACATGTAAACATGCTCTGACACCTGTAATAAAGTGAACACAGATCAGTGTGTTTCTTTTAGCACTTTTCTATGACCAACAAAACTATCCGTGAAAAAATTCAGCAAGGGTAGACGTGGCCTGAATTGTCCCATTGACTTTAGAGGGGGAGGCTACACATTCATTTAAAGTTATGCATATGCTTAAATATCTTGCTGAATTGGTGTTCTAGTTACATGGTCTGTTCCTCAAGATATAGTACAATCAGCTACACTGCTGTGTGTACAACAGAAAAATAAAAACAAAATATTTCCACAAAATAATCAGCTAAATGCCTCAGCGTGGGAGTAAAAACCATTCTGTTGTTTGCTGCTGCTTCTATCATTACCATAATTCCCAGAGGACCCAATCATGTCTGAGGCCTGTTTTGCTAAGTACTGGACAAACACTGAGGTGCGAGAAAGCCTATGATCATTGGGACTGAATCGCTCTCTCCCCAAAGACAGTCTGTCTCCCAAAATGCCTATCATCTATGAAAGAGGAAAGGGAAACTGAGTGGGATATAATCCTTTGTTCAAAGACAGCCATGTAGTGCCTCTGAAACAGTGTCACAGAAGGTTTATTCGACACACAAATATTCAAGTAACAAGATGATTTCTAAATAAGATTTTTTCCAATGTACTTTACAGCCTAGGAGAGTACTGATCTGTAGGAAGTTAATTAAATTAGCTGATACCACACTTCTATATCTAAATTGATTGAAGTGGTGTTACCATAAGTTAAACTAAAGGGGAAAAAACACATCCTAGAAGCTTAAAGGAAAATCTAATCACTGCATTGTTCTGGAAACTGTATATGCAGCTATTTCTATTAAGAAATCTGTGATTCATCATCTATTTGTTCACAATGAATATCATTTTATAATTAATGCAAACTAATTTGTAAGTGTATATGCAAATACATTGGTATCTGTGGAAGTAGTTTGGGATTCACATGGAGACTTTTGGGCATTATTGCCATACCGCAAGCTAAAATAAAACCTTTCTAAATGTAATACACACTGAGTGAGTTTGATGTCCACACCTGGCAAACGCTGTTTATATATGTGTATATAGATATATATATGATTTGATTTTGTTTTTTCTAGAAGAGTCACTGGTGCCATATAGTAAGCCCAGCTTCCCATCCCCAGGTGGTCACAGCTCTTCAGGAACAGCTTCTTCTAAAGGATCGACTGGACCTAGAAAAGGCGAAGTCTTGCGAGGAGGTCACCAACGCAATGCTAGTGACCTTCTTGATGTAGGATATATGGGATCAAATAATCCAGGACAGTTTACTGGTGAATTATGTGAGTGCCTTTCTGCTATAATTCAAATGTTTAAAAAAAAAGACAAATGTATATTAAAATTTTCACTGATGCCAGATTGCACTCCAGAGCGAGGGCAGTGCAGTTTGACAGTCAGAAGTAATTCTGATCCACATCTCAGTCATCTCTGAAGATCACTTCCCTGTGACAAAGATGAATGATTGAAATTTATCTTTCTGTTCCTTTAGATGTAGTTTAGACTACACCTTGCAAGATGATTGTTAATCCATGTTAGTACTGTGACTCATGCCAGGGTAATTTATTTAAGCCATGCTTAAACCTGTGATGCTAGTGTAAAGGGAAACACATGAGGTCAGCGGGTTAGAATTACTCATTATGCTTTAGATGGGAAGAAGGGGCATGCTCATGTTGCTTGGCCCGAAAGTGGCACTGGTGATGGTGTTACAAGAGTGCATTAAAATGCTTACCTGGAGCTTATCCCTCCTTTTCTTTACCCACTCTCTTTCTCATTCACCTTTCTCTCTCCTCAGTGCCCCATTCCCCAATTCAGTCTCCCTTTTGCTCATCACAGAGAAAGTGTGCCTCCCTCTTTCTCAAGTTCCCCAGTCTAGCAGAACTCCTTCCCAAATGTATTACCACTAGGTATGTGTCATATCTGGTACCATGCTGTGTATACAGCAGTTTGATGACACTCACATGAAACATCAAAGGCTTGTTAGGTTATAGCAACTGACCTTTTAGTATCAAGAACAGCAAATACTCTGGTGTTCTAGCTGCCTGGGAAACACAGTGAGAACACCCTTGAGGCTAGAAGTCTTGAGGGAAGTTCTGGTACTTTCTCAGCATATCAGCAGCTCATTTATAGCAGGTGGATACCTGACCTACACTCATGTTTGTCAATGCAAAGCTACATCAGTTTTGGATTATTTAGTTACACAAGGCTCTTCAAGATATAGGGTACCTCAGGCTAACCCGCCACATATAGTGTCATGTATAGAACCTGCCAGCACAGGTAAAAATTAACAGTGTAGACGGTAAGGTACTACTTAGGCAAGTAGAATAAAGATAATTCAAAACTTTAGGCCATGTCTACACTGGCGGGTTCTTGTGCAAGAATATCTTGCGCAAGGTTTCTTGTGAAAGAAGTCTTGCACAAGAACACATCCACACTGCCATTTGCAAGATGTGCTTTTGTGCAAGAGCATTCATGGCAGTGTGAATGCTCTCTTGCGCAAGAAAACTCTGATGGCCAATTTAGCCATAGGGCTTTCTTGTGCAAGAAACCTCTGCCGCGCGTCCAGGACAACTGCCTCCTTCACTCCATCCACTGCCCTCTTGTGCAAGAGCTGTTGTGCAAGAAGGCTTACACTTGTAAAAAAGAGTGTAGCTCTTGTGCAAGAAACCCTCTCTTACCACGCCGTACTGTAAATCTTCTTGTGCAAGAGCAGGCGGGCAGTGTGGATGTTCTGCAGGTTCTTGCACAAGAACGGCCATTCTTGTGCAAGAACCCGCCAGTGTAGACATAGCCCTGGAGTATGTATCCTGTATGGCTTTATTCAAGTCCAAGTAGTGTCTCTTCCATGCTACACTCCTGTTTTTTAGCTGTATCTAGTATCCCTTTGCCTCCACAGTGCTGGATCTTTTCCCTACCCCTAGGAAAGGCTCTACAAGGTCTCTGCTGCTGGAGTCTTTCTCCCATGCCAGCATCTTTCACTAATGCATGTAGCTACACACAGGGGATGGACAGACTTGCTGGGCCCCGGTGCAAGTTTGTGGGAGGGGTAGCTCGGCTCTACACTCTGAGAAGGGGCAGGGCCTTGGATGGAAGGGGCGGGGCTGGAAGCAGCCCATCCTCAGCACCGTCCATAGTGCTTTGGGCTGTCCTCTTCCAGCCAGCCTTGAGTACTGCCCGGAGTGTGCCACGGGCCCTGACCAGCCAGCCCTCACATCCACCCAGACATGTCACGTGGCACTCTAGAAGCATTTTAAAGGTCTCAGGGCTCCAACCACTGCCCTTGCTGATCCTAACAGTCAGGAGCCCCTGGCCCTTTTGAATTGCTGGGCCCCAGGACAACTGTCTCCTTCGCTCCATCCATTGGCAAGACTGTCTATGCACTGTCGTATGAATGTACTTGGTTTTCACAGCAGCCTGTAGTTTCATCTTTAGGCGAGGACTTACTCTGAACCACCAGGCAAGCAAGGCAAGGAATGTGACCAAAGGAAAGGGGATGTGGTTTGGACTTTGCTGCTGTTCGATAGGCCTGTTTCCATGGCAATGCCATAGTGCCATGGGCAGCTAGGAGCCCAACCCATCGCAGAGCGACTCCAGGTTCAGAGAAGTACAAAAGTACATTTCAAACATTTTTTTCATCTCTCTGATCTCTGCCAAGCCCTCCTCCATTGTGAATCTGACCTATAACATTGGAATCTCACTGTACTATAGAATATTTTAATCATTTGCACATGCAGTACAGTTTAAAAGTGACACAACTGGAGAACATTTGAAGAATATAACCAAATAACCAGGTGTTACCTGGTCCCATGCATCTGACGAAGTGGGTCTTTGCCCATGAAAGCTTATGCTCCAATAAATCTGTTAGTCTATAAGGTCCCTCAGGACACCTAGTCGCTTTTGCAGATTCAGACACAGCTACCCCTCTGATACTTGACAGGTGTTACCTGATATCCAGTTTGAGCCCTAGGTCTGACTTCCACAAAAATATTCCATTTGAAAAAGATATAGAGGTCATTTAAAATAATT